AATATTTTTTGAAAACATCGGCATTACAACCAAAAACGTTTGCGGTTATTTTCTTTTTAATATATTTAGTTATATATATATATATATATATATATATATATATGTGTGTATTAATAGCCGCATATATGTATTAATAACCGCCATAAATATTCTAATTTTTATTTGTGCCTTTAATACTACCACATATGATGATAATTAAAGGAAAGAAAAAAACGCACATGTATTAGCAGCAAAGTAACATTGTCGAACTGCTATGGGATCTCGTTTAGCAAATCTGTCACTAATTCTACCTAACCAAGGAAGACGTAGGTACGCGTGACATCTCTGTAGTAAAACAGGTTTGACTTTATTACATTCCGAAATTTTATTTTTAATTACGGATCGAACAATATCTAAAGCAAAGGCATTGTTGCAGAAAGTGGTATTAATAACCCATATCTCATCATCTAGTTTGGTTTCAGAAAGGATCTTTAAGATCCTATGGGTAAGAGATTTAATTGAATTTATTTTACATCTTATGTCACAAAAAACGTTCCAACAGGTATATAAGGCAGTAGATTTTCGATAAACTGAAGTGAGAAAACCCAACGAAGTTCTATGAATTAAAACATCAAGAAAGGGAAGGAAAGAGTTGACTTCCTTATCTTGTGTAAATTTAAGAGCTGGATGGATATTGTTAAGTGTCATAAGAGAAATGTCTATTCGCTATTGAAGAGAAAAAGGGTGCCATCGACATAATGCTTCTAGGACCAGATAATACACTCTTCATGAAAGCCTACAAAGATGTTAGCTAAAATAGGTCCTAAAGGGGAACCCACTGACATTATCAATTTGCCTATACATGACATCGTCGAAACTTAATTCAACCGGCATCGTGGCAAACTACATAAGTTCGGCAAAAATATCCTCTGAATAGGAGGAGGGGACAACTGAGTACAATATAAGCACATATATCAATAGTCTCAATAAGAGGGGCGTGGGTTAAAAGGCTAGAAATATCAAAGGAACACGTAAATTTATTAGTCGACAGGTAATTCTGTATAAAATCAGAGAATTGAAAAGAATTTTAGATACAGGACGAATGATACCGTTCCAAAACTGTCTGCAATATAGTGGTAAGCCACTTCACCACGTCATATTGGGAAGACCCTATCATAGACAAAATAGCTCTCAATGGGATCCCAAACTTATTTGTTTTGGGTAAACCATACAGACAAGGACGAATTGAACCAGAGGGTCTAATCAAGTTAGAAATGTCAGTAGGTAAAACTCCACTTTTAACCCACTTGACTAGGCGTTTTTGGAACTGAGCTTAGTTAATGTAGAGTCAAACTTAACTATTGGGCCTCACTGGATAAAATTAGAGGAAGCGTTAAGAATTGTCATCATCTTGTTTGCTTATGACGAATTTTGTCCTTCAGCACTTTATCGGACTAAATTTGTTACGTTGGTAGGACTACACATGTGCACAACAGAGAGGTGCTGGGAATTTTAGAATTTTTAAATTTTTTTCATCTAGACGAATTCATTTAGTGTCTTTTTCTTTCCATTACTTTTTTAAGTAGGTATTTCACACTGTGATATTAGAAGATCTGTCTGGTGAAATTCTGTAAGTGCCAAGTTCTAGATTTATTGTAGATGACCTTGCGATTAAGGCATTCCCTAAACATTTATGTTGTAGTTTATTATATTTTCCTCTGATCAAAGTAGCATTTTTTACGCCGATGTTGTGATCAGTCTCATTATGGTGGGCAAACAATGCATTTGATGTATTATTTTGTAAAATGTCCCTTTTGTGTTCATGTAATCTTTTATTTAGATTCCTTGAGGTTTCTCCTATGTATTTTTTGTGACAATTATTACAGGCGATGGAGTATATATCTTCTTCAAGTTTTAGCTTATTGTTTTGTTTAGTATTGACTCAGTCTTTTATTGTTTTGGATGCAGTCGCAAAGACTTTTATGTTGAGTTTAGATAGATTCATTTCAATTGTAGATGTGATAGTATTCCGCAGGATAATATATTTTTTGATTCAATGTGTTTCTCAAGAGGGACATTTTTTGGTTTTGTCATATTTTATGGACCCTTTGTTTGGCATTGGATATAAAATAATTAGGGTACTGGAGAAGTTTGAAAGTGTTTTCAATGTATCTCTCTTCTTTGTGTAAATAATATGGGCTGCATATTCTTTGAGCTCTTAGGTAGGATCTCTGATAAATCTCTAATAAATGAGAAACATGTTAGACGGGTGAACTTTCCCTAATTGTCATTTATGTTATATATATCCTTAAATATAATACAACACACACACACACACACACACACACACGTGTGTGTGTGTGTGTGTGTGTTTGTGTGCAACAATTGATGCACAGTCTTCAAAATTGACATGAGACGCACAGAAGTCATGACGCCATGTCCATACGCAAAAAACTACCGCGCTGTCAAACTACAAATTAACCCTCTTCTTTCCCTCTCTTTGCGAATTACGATCAAAGCGAAAGTAGTGGAAAGTAGCCACGAAAAGAAACAGATTCAAAACTGCAAAGAAGGAAAGAAAGAAAGAGAGAGGGAGAAAGGGATAGAGAGAGGAGATAAATATATATAAGACAGAAACTGGCCGAGGTTTATATTTCATTTCAGCTTGAATTAAACTTCATATCAAGTTATTTTTCTTCGAGGTGTCTTGGACTGTGGGATCGACTATCACTAGCGATGATGTCCTAATTTCTCAGCAAATTTGACACTCAAGAACACCAATTGGTGTCACAAAAATTTGCTGTAAAAAAAGCTATGCGTGATCATTGCGTGCCTGGAAAGTAAATGCGCACACAATAAATAAAGACAAAATACGGAGAAACTTTACTGAGGTGTTTATAAATTGTACACTGTTCTATTATTAACAGTAGCAACAAACTATTTTAAATTGCAAAATTGTACTTGGTTTAAAAAAAAATTTCCTTACTGGAATAATACATAATATTTGCAATTCATTTCTTCTTGGTGTCACTTTGGACGACACGGGCTCAATTTAAATTAATAATAGTAATAAAATTAAGTAACCTTTTTTTTCAGGTGTTTAAATAATTTGATGCAGCTTTAAGAAGATATGCATTGCTGTGTGAAATTTAAATATCTGGGAAGTGTTTTAAAAGAGGACGGAAGTGTGACAGTGAAATCCGAGAGCGTATTGGGATAGCCAAGGAAGCATCCCAAAAGCTAAGCAGTGTACTAAGAAATAGAAAAGATTCCGCTAGAAATAAGGAAAAGAGAACTAAACTGCTATGTGATATCTGTTTCCTCTTTCAATGTGAATGCCTCTACAATCTCTTCAAGATGAAGAAGAAAAATAAACAGAAACAAAGAAAAGATTACTGAATTGTTATATGATATCTGTCCTCCTGTATGGCAGTGAATGCTCGACAATCTCCTCAGAGATGAAGAAGAGACTTGAAGCAACATAAATTTAGTTCTACAGAAGGATGTTAACAACAAACTATTTTAAATTACAAAATTAGGATTAAACGAAAATTACTTGCAAAATAATACATATTACTTACAATGCATTCCTTCTTGACGTCAATTTCGACGGCACAGGTACACTAGTATATATATATATATATATATATATATATTGGCCACTGGCAAAGTCATGAATGCAGGTGAACCTGCGAACTGTCCCATCGTTAATAGCTTGTCAGTATTATCTGGTCGCTGTCATTCTAGGAGATATGTCAAAAATTGGATGTGTATATATTCATTCTATATTCTCGCTCTTATAATCACAAAAACCTTGACATGAAACAGTGAAAAACTATTTATTAGCATTCAGGCACTTTTTCTTACATCCCCGCCATATTTTCGCCACTACCACATTCAACCAGTGACCAGTATTTGTTTATTTCCTTTCTTTTTTTTCAACCTTTCTTTCTTTTCTTTCTTTCTTTCTTTTATTTCTTTCTTTTCTTTTAATTCTTTTTTTTTTCTTTTCTTTTCTTTTTATTTTCTTTTCTTTCTTTTTCTTTTTTTTTTTTTCGTCTTAAATCTTTTCCTTTTTTTCTTTTAAATCTTTTTTTTCTTTCTTTCTTTCTTTTTTTTTCTTTCTTTATTTTATATTCTCTTTCTTTTTTTTTTTCTTAATCCACTCTTTTTCTTTCTTTCTTTCTTTCTTTTATTTTTTCTTCGTCTTAAATCTACTTTCTTTCTTTCTTGTAAATCTGCTCCTTTCTTTCTTTCTTTCTTTCTTTTTTCTTTTTTTTTTTTCTTTTCTTTTTTTTTTTTCTTCACCTTTAATCCGCTTTCCTTTTATTTATTTCTTTCTTTTATTTTTCTTCGTCTTAAATCTACTTTTCTTTCTTTCTTGTAAATCTGCTTTTTTTTCTTTCTTTCTTTTGCTTTTTCTTTCTTTCTTTTTTCTTCTTTCTTTTTTTTTTTATTTTTTTTTCGTTTTAAATTCTCTTTTTTCTTTCTTTCTAAATCTGCTTTTCTTTCTTTTCTTTCTTTTTTTTTCTTTCTTTCTTTCTTTCTTTTATTTTTCTTCGTCTTAAATCTTGTCCTTTGTTTGTTTGTTTCTTTCTTTTTTTTTTTTTCTTCGTCTTAAATCTTTTCTTTTGTTTGTTTTCTTTTTTCTTTTTTTTTCTTTGTCTTTTTTTTTTTTTATTTTTTCTTTATTTTTTCTTTTTCTTTCTTTAATTTCTCTCTTTGTCTTAAATATATCTTTCTTTCTTTCTTTCTTTCTTTCTTTCTTTCTTTGTCTTAAATCTTGTCCATCTTTCTTTCTTTTTCTTCTTCGTTCTTTCTATCTTTCTTTTTTTCTCTTTTTTGAATCATTCTTTCTTCCTTTCTTTCAATCGTTATATCATTTTTATTCCTTTCTTTAATATTCTTTTCTTTGTCTCTTCTTTCTATACTAACACATTAATATTTCATTGTCTCTTCCCCTGCTTACTTTTTTTCTTCTTCTTTTTTTCCCTACCCCATTTCAAATAATGAAAATTTGTTTACGTCGTTGTAGTACGTCGTTCGATTTTAACCTTGATTCTCTGACCGAGTCTGGTGGAGTGAGGTCGGCGCCGCCCTGATACGGTCGTTGGTCTGGCGTCATGAACTGCGGCAGGGGAAATATGAGTGAAATGAAAGAAAGAGCAAAGGAGAGGGCGTAGGGAGACTGGATTTGAGCCAATGTGAGTCGGTCAACACCATCTATTACGATGATTGCTGGGTAGTTTCGTTTCCGAATAACCCGCGAACTGGTTGTCTGACTGTGTTTCTGTCAAAGAAAGGTTACAGGAATGGGGAAGAGTGAGAAAGAAATAAAGAAAGAAAGAAAGAAAGAAATTGAGAGAGAGAGAGAGAGAGAGAGAGAGAGAGACAATGAGAAAGAATGGAAGAAATAAAAGGGAAAGAAAGCAATCGAAGGAAAAAAGAAAGAAGAGAAAAGAAATGAAGAGTGAGACAGAAATAAAAAAAAAAAAGTTAGAAAGAGAATGAAAGGTAGAAAGAAAATGAAAGAAAGAGGAAAAAGAAAGAAAGAGAACGAAAAAACTTAAATAGACAAAGATAATGAAAGACAGAAAGAAAGAGAAAGAAAGATTGAAAGTAAAAAAAGAAAGAAAATGTAAGAAAAAAAGAAAAAAACGGAAAGAATGAAAATAATGAACAAAAGGAAGAAAAGGGAGATGAAAAAGAATAAAGATAAATAACCAAGAGAAAAAAGAAAAAAAGAAAGAAAGAAAGAAAGGAAAAGAGAAAGAAAGAAACTAAGAGAAAATAAAGTTGACAAATAAAACGAAAAAGATAATGAAAAGAAACAAAGATTATGAACGACAGAATTAAAAAGAAAGAAAGGTAGAGAGGAAGGAAAAAAGAAAAAAAGAAAGAAAAACAGAAGAAAAGGGAAGAAAGCAAGAAGTAATGAATGAAAAGAAGAAAACAGAAATAAAAAGATATCGTGAGAAAGAAAGAAAGAAAAACAAGGAATGAAACGAGAATAAAATTAATATAGAGAATAAAAAGAAAAAGAAGTGTTAATGACAGATAGCATAAAGTAAAAGAGAGAAAGAAAGAAAGAAAGAAAGAAAGAAGAAAGAAAAAGCGAAAGAAAAAAAGAACTTCTATAAAATTGAAGAAATAAAAATGAAATACAGAGCGAAATAAAGTTAATGAAAATTTGATAACGAAATAATAATAAAAAAAAACTGAAGAAAACAAGCAAACAAGAAAGAAAGAAAGAAAAAAGAAAGAAAGAAAAAAAAAAAAAAAAAAAGGAAAGAAAGAAAAGAAAGAAAAGAAAGAAAGAAATATTGAATGGATAATGAGAAAATACGTAAAAAAGAAAAGAAAGAAAGAAAGAAAGGAAAGAAAGAAAGAAGTGTAAAAGAAAGGAAACAAGAAAAAAAGAGAAAAATTAAAAAAAAGAAAATAGAAAGATGAAAACAAGGAAGAAATAAATAAATAAAGAAAGAAAGAAAGAAAGAAAAAAGGGAAGGAATTAAACCAGAAAGAGAGGATGTAAAACTAAAAAAGAAACTAAAAAAGAAAGTTGCAAACGACCAAGAAAGAAAGAAAGAAAGAAAGAAAGAAAGAAAGAAAGAAAGAAGGGTGAAAGCAATCAAGAAAATAAGGAAAAAGAAAGAAAGAAAGAACAGAGGAAATGGAAACAAGCAAGGAGGAAATAAAGAAAGGAAAAAAAAAAGAGGGAAGTAGAAAAGAAAGAAAAGAAGAAGAAAGAAAACGAGAAAGAAAAGCGGATTTTGTTTCATTGAAAGTTGGAATGAAACGAGAGAAGAAAGAAAGAAAGAAAAAAGAAAAGAAGGAAGCAAGAAAGAAGGAAAGAAAAGATGGAAGCAAGCAAGAAAAGAAAGAAATTATGTTTAGTCTAGACCTTTCCTATAATGATTCATTGAATGACGAACAAGAAACGACGTCATCTGTGCATGAGCAGATATATAATTTACATATGGCCATTATTAAGTTGACGGGTGTGGTGTCCACAAAGGCCTTTCTTTAAACTCTATATTCTTTCAGGGAGGGGGGTAGCCGATCATGACTATCCACAAATTCCTATTTCTGGGAATTGCTTTGAATTCGTGGAAAAGGTGGTAGAATCGTTTCATGTTGCTTTCTCCAATGTGTCGAGTTCAGAGTTTTTCTTTTCCTAGATCGCTTGGTACCTAGTGCTATAGAACTGAAACTGTCCTGCTATTTATCCATAGCTCAGTGGAAAAGATTTGGATTCATGCCTTTCAAAAGGCTAATAGGTCATATGTCAATAGTCCGGATCATTGAGTCAATTCCAACGAAACTTTCCTTAGCTACAGAGCATGTGTTTCGCTTGGGGTATATACAGTTTTGGCTATATAGTTTCCTTCTCCTAGATCGCTCGCTATCCAAGGTTATAGAATTCCAAAACATGTATTTTATTTCTTCCTTTGTTTGTTTGTTTCTTTCTTTCTTTCTTTTTCCTTCCTTCCGTTCTTCCTTCCTTCCTTTGTTTGTTTGTTTCTTTCTTTTTACCTTCCTTCCTTTCTTTCTTAATATTTCACGTCATCGCGAGATATTTTATTGTTGGGGTGGATTATTATTGTTGTTAAAATATTTATAATAAATTGTAGTTAAATTTTCTTGTTGAAAAAAAAAAAGAGCCAAAATTCTAAATTTCGCGCCAAGAGGGTGTTTTCCTTTTCTTTTTTTTTTTTACTAGGGAATCATGGGAAATTCCTGTTTCTTTTTTTTATTTCTCATGATCGGAGGATGTATATTTTTTAACACAATTTATCGAATATTCAGGTCGATAGATGGAAATAATTAAATAAATATACTGTTTAATGAATAAATAAATAAATAAAAACAGAACATCTACTCCAATATGAGTACACATTTAAAAAATGACGTTTAAACAAATACATATATATATATATATATATATAAATATGTGTGTGTGTGTATCGTATGTTTCCATGTATAAGGCGACCTTTAGATAAGACGTGATAAAAAAATTTCAGGAATTTAACCGATAATTCTAGTACAATTGTTACTTACTGTATCCTTAGAAAATCAAAATAAACGTAACAACAAAACCGATCCTATATCATGTTTTACTACACACGTCTCCTAAAACGGAAACCATTGTTTTTGTCTACATTTTATCACGTGATTTCTTGCAAATACTGATTTTTGCTCTTCATTTCCTATATCTAAAGAGTTACAAACAGCCTGGTGTACTAATAGCCATTTACTTATATTTCATCGTCAATCACAAAAATACCACGAATAACAATGATTCCATTGCTGTGAATGCAATCATAACTCGATGTTTGCTTTTTCTCAGCTGAGCTTGCATGGATACAAGTTGATTTCATTGACATGGAATTATTCTTCGAATAGGCAATTTATTATGAAGTTATGCCAGTAATATATAAGGTAGAAATGGTTTTATTATTTTTTATTATCAGTTTATTTAATAATGTGAATCTTTTCATGAAGAAGGAGACCAAGAATAAAAGAGCACAAGAAAGAAAGAAAAGAATAGAATGCATGTTTGGGCGTTAAAAGTTCGTATCACTTTTGCACCATCTAAAAGGCCCGGTGGCACTCAAGGTAGAGGGGTACGTTTGGAGGCCATTTGTGTGCATAGGGGTGGAAGATAACGTTATTGGTTACCGCAGAAAGGCCGAAGTTAGCCTTCCGACAAACTTCACTCAGAAATTAAGAATTTTCAGACTTGTAGTATAAAACGACACCCAATTTTAAGGATGATTTTGGGATTTAAATGTCTTTTCTGGGCACAAAGTATGTAAACACTGTCCAATGGAACAAGGAAATTAAATTATCTATTAAAAAAAAATTAAACAGCTAAACTTATCCAAAAGAACAACACGCCCGCAAAATCAAAGCTACAAAGAACAAACATTATTTACAAGTTCAAATGCCCCTTAAGGAATTGTTTTCCTGATCAAACCAAACTCATAAATAATTACATTGGTCACACTACTACATGCCTATCTAGACGACTTACGTTACACCTCATCGAGGATAGTTCAATTAAGGCTCATTTAAAAAAAAAAACAAAAACAAAAACACGGACACTACATTTTTTAATTTTTATATTTTAATTACATTAAAAATAATGAAAGCCCTAATAATAAAAAATGAAAAGTGAACACTCAGTGACATTAACTATGAACACTGTCACAATGTGCTGACCGTGTTTGGAAAATAAAACATTACTATTGAGAGGATATTAGAAAGAAGGAGAGAAAGAATAAAAGAACACAAGAAAGAAAGAAACGAATAGAATGTACCATTTACAAGGCCCGAGACCACTCAAGGTAGAGGGATACGTTTGGAAGCCATTTGTGTGTATAGGAGTGGAGGATAACGTTTAACCCTAGCATTGAACAGGTTAAGATTGTAGTGATCGGGGAAACATTCTCTTGGGAGTTGGTTCCACAGGGCAGTAGTACACGGGAAGAAGCTGTTCGAGTGGAACTTACTTCTCACCGATGGAATATGGAGGGAATATGGATGGTTTGCTACTGCGTAAGTGGCATGGCGTGTTCTTTCCGTGAAGGTTTGCCTCGGCGGGACCAAAGAGTGTAGTTAGTCTGAGAACTTTTCATGAAAGTAGCTGTAAAGCAGCGAGAGGCTTGTCACATCTCACCTATGGTTTGGAGAATAATTCGTCACCCACAAGGACTCGGAGACACTTTTCAACTTTATCAAGGCTGGAGATTGAAGTCTGGGTAGCACCCGCCCAAATATGAGAACAGTACTTTAACCTGATCTGGCTCTAGTAAAGCTAGACGATAACAGAAAGAGTCAGGTACTTACTAAAGCGGTACAGAGATCCGACCATTTTACCTGCATCCTTAGCCATGTATGTACGAGTTCCACTTCAGTTGGGGTGTCTGTTTGAGGCCCAAGGCACGGTGCTTCCCAGAGAGGACCTTCGTTCATCCTGATTGGCGGCAGTTCGGGCTCAGATCAGCGATGATGGAATGTAACTAACTTGGTCTTCGACGCATTGAATGTAACCAGCCAGTTTTTACCCCATTGGGTAGTTTGTACAAATCGGAAGAGACATCAGTCGCCAATCTCTTACCATCGATAGGCCCGTACATAGTCGAATCATTAGCATAGATGTTTACAAATGATCTGAGTATATTCTTAGATCATTTATAAGACTAAAAAGAGGGTTGGTCCGAGTGTTACCCTTGGGGGACGCTTGCGTTGAGCACTAAGGCTCCAGAGGACTGGCTATTGATAACTACTTTCAGGTATTTACATATTAGACATAAAAGTGATTCCATAACTGGAGAGCTTGTGTAGTAAGCCTTTGCACCACACCTTGTCGAAGGCCTTTAAGATATCTAGTGTTACGGTCCTCTAGGGGTGTCAAAAGCCTCACTGATTCTAGGAGTGATGGTAGCGGATCGGCCCGACTGAAACCTATACTGCATGTCGCTGAAGATGTCCTTTTCTAGGTTTTCGATGACTTTTTCCTGATTAAAATCTTCAATGATATGAGGAGACTGATGAGTCTGTACTGGGAATTTATTCAAATTGATGGAGATAGCATATCCGATCGAATTCCAGTCGAATCCATTTAATTTAAATTAATAATACCCCTTGGAAAATATCTAATCCTCTTCTCCCTCTAGCTATGAGTAAATAGCAGAACAGACTGGGTTTTTTATAGCCTTTACGGCATTGGCAACTGGTCTTAAACAAAAGACAATTCTGAATTCAAAACCTGCGGAGGGTCATTTGGGGACCTTGGACCGTAGTGCACCAGGTTTTTATCGTATTCAGCTCGTCAAAAAAAAGATGGTTCTGCACAAAACGTTAACCACTATAATCAAATCATATCTGATGGTGTCGGGCTGTTGATTCCTAGGAACTAAGTTGCTCAACCCTCATAAGTCGAATATGACAATAATATATATATATATATATATATATATATATATATATATATATATATATATATTTATATTGAGAGATTTTATATAGAGATTGAAATATTAGTGGTAAATATACACATACATATGCAATCATATATCTAAAATATATTTTTAACATTAGATCGTCTATTGTGTGTAAATCACCACAAAATGTATCTCTTTTACCTACATCTTTAATGTATTAGACATCCGAGAACATTCATATTTCTCTCACTTAAACCGTCGTTGACTCACCTCTCTAAAACTTCTCTCTGTTAAATTTTAATCCCCTACTTCATCTTTAGACCTTCCTGTTCTTCTTCTGTTATTCTCTCGTCTGTTACCCTCTCTATAGCTTTCATTTACTCTAACATTCGTCCCATACTCTCATACATACAAAACCACTAAATTTTATTTTTTTTCCCGGAGTTTTTTTTTCTTTTTTTTAATTTTGTAGGTCAGATGAATTGGATCGTATTTACGATTCAATGGAATAAATTATGAAACATGGAATATTAGTGTTTTTTTTTTATATATATATATATATATATATATATATATATATATATATATATATATATATATATATCTGCGGAGAACGTATATTTTCGGTTTAATAACTTTTTAAAAGACCTTGTTTATAATGTAAATATAATTTTTATTTTAGCTGAGAACAAAATCGAAATTGGTAATCTCTTTCCTTCTTTCTATTTACTTTTATCCTTTCTTTCTTTCTTTCTAAAATCCTCTGAACATATTTCTTTCTTTCCTTCTTTCTTTCTTTCTATATTCTATTATTGTTTCTTTCCTTTTATCTAACGTCCTCTGAACACTTTTCTTTCTTTCTTTCCCTCTTTTCTTTCTATGTTATTTTATTCTTTCTTTCCTTCTTTTGTAACATCCTATTTCACATTTTTTTTTTTAAACTATTCTCTAATTTTTTATTTCTTTCTTTTTTCTTTATTTTTTTCTTTCTTTTAAATTTCTTTTCTGAAATTAGTTTTTTTTTTTCTTTTTTTCTTTCTTTTTCTTTCAATAATCTTTTACATTTCTTTTTTTTTTTTTCAATGATTCTTTTCTTTCTTTTTCTAAAAATGATACTTTTTTCTTTTTTTTAATTTCTTTCTTTTTTTTTTTCTTTCTTTTCTTATTCTTTCTTTCCTTCTTTCTAACATCCTTTGAACTATCTTTTCTTTCTTTCTTTCTTTCATAAAGAAAATTTTTTTTCTTTCTTTTCTTTCTTTTATTCTTTCTTTCCTTCTTTTTAAAATTCCTTTCTTTCTGTAAGCAAAATTTTTCTTTCTTTTTCTTTTAATTTTTCTTTTTTCTTTCTTTCTTTTTTTCTTTTCTTTATTCTTTTTTTCTTTCTTTTATTCTTTTTCTTTCCTTCTTTCTAACATCCTCTTTTATTTTTAATAATTTATTCGAATTCTTTAAATTTCTTTCTTTCTTTTAATTCTTTTTCTTTCTTTCTTATCGTCCTTTTTTCTTCTCTTCTTTTTATCATGGCTTTAAAAACGGGTATTTTAAAATGTATATTTAATATTATATTTTAATAATTTAAATACCTCCATTCGATGATTAAAAATGATAATAATTTTAAATGAAAAAAAAATTTTTTATTTGTTTTTCTTATTATTAAGTCAAAGACCAAAGGATTTTTGATTATTTAATTAATATTTTTTTATCATTATTAGAACTTCAAAAATACGGTAAAAATTTCTTTTTTTGCGTCAGCGTGTTTTTCTGAGTAAATAAATTTCGTATCGGACATTCTAGTGAAAAACTTTTTTATTCCCTTTTGAAATTTTTGCAAAAATCAAATAATTATCAAATTTTAATGAAACTTGCTGGTTTTATTTTAATTTATTCACAAATAAATGAAATTATTTTAGAAATTTTTTTTAGACAATCTTGGTAAAAGTATTTTTCATATCTGTTAACCCCATCATTTATGTAAATTTATGAAATCTCGTGAACTTCATTTTTGTACGGTTTAATGTTTCTCTTAATTATAAGTTTATCCTTGTTTTCATTTAAATCTTTTATTTATTTATTTTTTGTAAAATTGGACCCACGAAAATTTGCTCTGAATTCTAAAATAAAGATACAATAAAATTAATACATTATTTAATTAGAAAAGCTTTTAATTACTTTTATGAATTAAATATATTATGGGCATTTGTCATAAGAAAAATATTTTTTCGATGAATATTGAATCTTTACAAGAATTGCTTGCATTTTTTATAATTTTAATTAGAGTAATTTATCAAGTTGCAAATCTTTTAAAATTCTGTGTTAATTTTTAGCGGTTAAATGATATTTTTATTAAATAAAAACTAAATTTACTAATCATAAATGGAAAAAGCTTACTACAATTCAGCGACTACCAATATTTAAAAAAAAATTGAATTTTTGTGTGTATAAACATGCCAATTTTTGTAAATGAGTTCGTGTATGCACGACATTCTCAAAAAATAAATGCGGTAACTATAGCCAAACTCTCTAAAATTGAATAAAACATTAAATTATGGGGAATATTTTCCTAAATTTTAAAGTTAACTATATAATTAAATTCACTATAAAATGTTATG